ATAATTTTTTTTTCAGTTGGTTGAAGTAAGTGGTTCACATTGTGTTAACTGCTTTTTTTTTCTCTTCATCCCTCACATCAGTAAGAACAGAGTTGTATCTTTTTTTTTTACTATTACCTCAAGTGTAAGTACATGTACATGTATGGGTTTTTTTTTTTCACACTAAAAGTATACTGTAAATGTTTGACTTTCCCGTTTTTTTTTTCCCTTTGGATCAGAAGAAAGTGATCCATAATACTAGTTATTTTTTTTTCTGTCACGAGTGTTAACACAGGAAACACAGGAAACATCATTTTTTTTTATGAAATTCTTTGCTGAGGCCTTGGTAGCCTTGATTTTTTTTTTTTTTTGTGCTTCTTCTACCCTTTATAACTTTCTTTAGCTTTGATTTTTTTTTTGCATCTGAGTGACATTCCTTTGTCACAACATTTTAGCATTTTTTTTTACATTTTCCTTGCGTTTACCAGTGAAATAAACAATAACATTTTTTTTTTCAGAGAGTGCATACTACATGTATGATAGCTATAATATATTTTTTTTTTAACGACAATATGCTAAATTAGTGTAGGTCTTTATGAAATTTTTTTTTAGACTTACTTGGAATTATTGCCATTAAAAATGCTCACTATTTTTTTTTATTCTTTCAATTTTGTTTTTCAGTTSCGTTTTGGTTATTTTTTTTTTTTAAAACATGTTTTCACCTTGGATCCTAACCTCCCAGAATTTTTTTTTTCCAATGTATCAGCCGTAGACAGTCCAATTCTCACTTTACGACAAGGATGTCAAGAATGGCAAAATGACCTTAAGCCATCACCTGAATTTTTTTTTTCTGTTCAGTTTGTYGGCGGTTGCTATGGTAACTTCTATCTTTTTTTTTTYTTTGGTTTTGARACTGTTGGWCCAAAGATTGTTCGTCTTTTTTTTTTGATGGTGGCCCCTGAGACCTCMCTTGTAAAGCAGTTATTTTTTTTTTGGACAAGCACGGAAGATAATGAATTAAATTGGCTTAATAAATATGAATTAATTACTTATAATGGGAAGAAACAGAAAGGTAAGGGGGTTTTTTTTTTTGTGGTACAGTGGAACCTTGGCGTTTGGTCACTGAAGGTTTTTTTTTAAATGCCGCCATATTAATGGGGTGGCCACAAGGCAGGGTTTTTTTTTTTCATCAAACAAATGAAATGTTTGTTTTTTTCTAGCCTAGTTTTTTTTTTTTCATTTTTTCCCATCTATCCCATTTTCATATTTTTTTTTTTTTTTTTTTTTCCCTATTCCCCTTTTCTCTATAAATAACTTCAATTTTTTTTTTAAGAGCATTTCCTTCATTCTTTCCTGTTATTATTCTTCCTTTTTTTTTTTTTGTTTGTCGAGATGTGTGTCTTCTGTCACCCCTTCCTTTTTTTTTACATGTCTGCCATTCTCCTCCTTCTCTTTCACTTTCTTCTTTTTTTTTATCCTTTTGACCATCCTTTTTTCTTATTTTGCTTGCTTTTTTTTTTTTCTTCCATCTCACCTCCCTTTTTAATTTGAATACTTCTCCTTTTTTTTTCATCATGTGCAAGGCTCGAAATAACGTTTGGACCTATGCTTTTTTTTTTGTTGTTCCAAACACTTTTTTGGAAGGTCATCATTAATTTTTTTTTTTAGGGCTGGTAAATATGTCTTTTCAAATTTGGATTTGACATTTTTTTTTGCAAATTTGGAAGGACATTGTCTTTTGACTTTAATTCCATTTTTTTTTAGTCCTGCATCAGTATTTATATGCTTCTCATTTGTTAACTTTTTTTTTTTCTCAATGCTTTCTTGTAGGGCCAGAACAATCAAAGTATTTTTTTTTACCAAATATCAAGTCTGGCTTAGATTTTGGAGCCTTTGATTTTTTTTTTGATACACTGACTAAAGAGAACTACAGAACTAGACTACATTTTTTTTTACACATAGAAGAACATGAACGAAGGAAACAAATGACCAGTTTTTTTTTAGCAATACTCAATGTTTATCGACAAACTTATTCTTATGTTTTTTTTTTARCCATGATCAGAATGGCTTCTCACAAGTCACTKTGTTCTTTTTTTTTATCGTCTTCTGGTTGGCACATGAATAACAAAGGCTTACRTTTTTTTTTGTATCGCTATACTCCATTTTACATTTCCAAGCACCATCTTTTTTTTTTGCCGAGACTTTGCATCAAAGTGAGTCAGTTGAGCCTGCATTTTTTTTTACATGTACCTTTTGTTAGCCTGTGTCACATCCAGACAAATTTTTTTTTCGTCGTTTGTCCAGATGTGACACAGGCTACCTTTTGTTCTTTTTTTTTACAATTATTTACAGCTATCTACCATTGCAAGCTCAACTTTTTTTTTTTTTTGATGCAAAGGCTCTGCTTCACGTACCTTTCAAGACTTTTTTTTTTAAAGTCTGTTAAATGAAGTATTTACAATGGACTCTTATCTTAAATGGCCATGGTCAACTAGCATTGAAAACAATCATGTTTTAGATTTTTTTTTTTTTATATTGGACAGCGAGTTGACTTGCAGGTGGACATTTTTTTTTTTTTAATTGTAATTCGATTTTATATAAAGTGTGCATGTGTCTCTTTTTTTTTGTGCTCTAGCTCAAATTGAATTTACAGGGTCCGTGCTACTTTTTTTTTCCCTTGAAAAGACCAGGAATTGAAAACCTGTTTTCAAGGGCACTTGAAAATCCCTTGGAAACAGCAAAACCACTAAAAACTCCTGGATTTTTTTTTGAATCTGTCAAAAGTATTACATGTTTTTTCCTGGAATTTTTTTTTTTTTCCATTTAGGCAGAACTGGCCGGCCAGTCCAATCTATATTTTTTTTTTAATGCTTTTTGTCAACATTTTTCAGTCATTTTGAGGTTTTTTTTTTTTTAATGAATAGAATTTGGAAATTTGAATTTTCTAACTAAATTTTTTTTTTATATAATGACATTTTCTCTGGGTCTGGCCAGCCAGTTCTTTTTTTTTGAAAGCGCACTAAGTGATGACAGCAAGTAATGCTATTGGTTTTTTTTTTCAGACTTAATCTTTCTTGCCAAAACATTCTGAAATACATTTTTTTTTCAGAGGAACATATGGACAAGGCCTGCATTGAACTTCCAATCAACCCAGACATCTTAGAGGACGCCAATCACTTGATCAACAGAAGTTTTTTTTTTTTGATTAAACTTGTTCCACCATCAAAAGCTTTATCTGAACTTTTTTTTTTGGATCCAGTGCTTTATGAAGTCATTGTGCTTGCACTCATTTTTTTTTCTATTGTTTTTCTTGTAAGTTGAGTAYTCCTCCAGGTTTTTTTTTTTTTTTCCTCCCTTTCATTCCCATTTTTTTAATGTCTTCAACTTTTTTTTTTTCTGTTTTGTTCTCCCTTTTCACTGTTCACCMTTTTCTTTTTTTTTTGCTTTACATTTTCGTCTCTTTTTCTTTTCTTCCTCTCTTTTTTTTTTTCATTTTTCCTCCCTTTCTTCTCATTCCAGTCTTGTTCATTTTTTTTTTACTTTCTTTCTGCCTTCCAGTCTTCTTCTCTCTCTTCCTTTTTTTTTTTCGTCTTCAGATTTTTCTGTATATCTTCACTGCCCAGTTTTTTTTTTTTACTCCATTTTATTCCCTTTTCTCCAAGTTGCATCTTAATTTTTTTTTTCCTTCTTCAAAATTCTGTTTTTCGTCCTCATTTTCCCCTTTTTTTTTTCTTCTGTTCTTCCTCCCTCCCTCCCTTCCCTCTTCTTTTTTTTTTTTATATTTCTTGGTTTCTGATTTCTTTCTTTCCATCCTATATTTTTTTTTTTTTTGTTAAGGAATTCCTGTTCAGATTTGTATCGCGACTTTTTTTTTATTTAGTGTTTTTTGTCAGACCTTCCCTTCATTTCAGTTTATTCTTTTATTCATTGTTTTGAATGTTTCATTCTCAACAGACCAGTATTTTTTTTTACCTTGTCTTAAATGAAGCCATGAAAACCTCCAAAGGTCTATCAGCCAGCGTTTGCTTCCGCTTTGTAGACACCTACAARTACATGCTTTTTTTTTTTGACCWGATAAACTTAGAATGCATATTTCCAGACAATCTTTTTTTTTTATCCTTRGAATGGRACATTGGAMGACATGAATTTTTRATTTTTTTTTAAGCCACTGCYTTGAGCCATATTTTAGACCCACGACCCAAGCCTCCACTCCTCATGTTCGGACCGTTTGGGACTGGTAAAACTAGGATTTTTTTTTAAGCAGTTAAAGAACTTTGCAGACTGCATTCTGGGAATCCGGATGAGAATCTTCGTATTTTGATATGTACTCATTCTAACAGTGCCGTTTTTTTTTAYATAGTGAACTATCTTCATCCGTACTTTACGTCRTCTGTTTTTTTTTGTGAGTTGTGTAAAACTCTAAGGATATGTTGGGAGGATCTTTTTTTTTAGACAGTCAGTTCTACTGTGTTGAAATATTGCTTCATCATTTTTTTTTCAGGTAAAGATATTATATAGAGATAGACGTAATGACGGGTTTTTTTTTCTGTATTAATAAAAAAAACATTTAAAAAAATCTTTTACATTTTTTTTTAGTATTTAAGTACAATTTTACTTTATACAATGCTCCTTATTTTTTTTTAGCACTTTTTTTGAAAACATTTTCGATAATTTTAAGTAATTTTTTTTTAACATTTGTATATACCAACTTCCAGGCGTTAGCATAGTGTTTTTTTTTTCGTTCCGACGCACTAGCCACAAAAACGAATCATCCAAGTTTTTTTTTTAGGAGGGTTCACTAGCAGACCACAATGCATTGCGATTGTTTTTTTTTTATTATTTTCCGTGACGTCATCACTTGGATACTTGGATATTTTTTTTTTCT